GCGGTATGTCACAACTTATTCACAGCTAACCTTCGGTGAAGGTATAAATCGCTATTCACAACCCGGGGACGCGCCTGGTAGCATACAGCTCTGCTCAACCCCAGAGTATCCAGGCATAATGCTACAGAAGTCAGATGTATGTCCAGGAGTCTATGTCCGCTCACTCTATCGTAAACAAAAACGGAAATCTGTCGGGATGATCAATGCACTCCAGCTAACAAAATCATGAAACTTTTGTGGCATAGGAGAAATCCTGACCAAGATACACTTGGCGTTGAAATTCACAACATGGGTGTGTTAAGACGGCATACCAAAAAGATGTGTCAGATAAAACCACAACTGTCTTCGTCTCTGGCTCTCTTGCACACACAAACACACACACACATTCACCGGTTAATCTGACTGAGACAGAGAAGCGAATCCAAATGGGCAACCAAAACCGGCGCACGAAAGTGCATGGTTAATGGTTGTAAAGACTGAACTGAACTGAAGCTGACCCTGTAAGTTGGGTGGATGGAAACCCGGGGAAAGATACAAGCTGTCAGTGTCACCTCGCAGATCAGCTTGTAGACCACAGGAGTTGTCCATGTCCACGAGTTCGAATCCCACCGAGGCTAGCGATAATGTTATGATTCCAACGTAAATACACAAGCAAAGTAAGAACGCACAGATGTGCGACACCGAGAATTCTCATTACTTACCTCCAGAACGGGAAAATACGAGGCAGGGCAGTATCCTTGGACCAAACTGTACAATGCCTCAGAGGAATAAGGTAAATTGATGATTCGTTCAACCTCCTCCGAGGAGGATGCTTGGGCTTTGGTTAGATGAGCTAACGGATCTTCCAATCCGATCTGCGCTTTGCGCGTCCCCGAGCTCTCTGGATCTGAATTATCCCGATCTTCAATGGAATCCTCGTTCTGATCTCGATGTGAAGCACTGTTCGGTGTATGCATTGAATCGCGTGTGTCTGCGTTTAAACCGGATTCACTGTTTAAGTCTATGGAGACAGATCTCCGAGTCACGTGTGAGTTGGACAAGTTTGGCAAGATGGGTGGGTATGGTGCCAACTCCTTGAAGTTCTTTTGTGTGCTTGGATGTGACGATGTTCTGTGGATGGGCACAGAGCTCGAGGTGGGATTGTTAACTGCGGGAGATGGGGATGCGGAAGTTGAATTGTGGGAAACAGATGATGGAACCGAGCTCAACTTAATGGGTCTTTCCATGGCCAGACGAAGTAGCATATCATCCGAGTATAGTTCAAAGTCATAATCTCGTGTGATACGTGAGGCCTGACAACAAATGGTGATAAACTCATGCGAGATACGCGCGTGTACACCCATCACATGACGTCGACTATCGGCCAGGGTAGCGGCCCGAATTCCACTGTCCGGCTGACGCGTGGTCACAAACAGACGTCCACAAGGACATCGAAAAGCCAGAGTACGGTCCCGTCGACAGATTCGAGTCATCGTGTATGTGGCGTAAACTTGCATTTTGGCCACTAGATCTTTAATCTGTGCTTCGGTGGCTCCGGCACACTCCAATAACTTTCGCAATACTGGTTCGGAATAGGGCAGCGGCAAATCAACCACACGATCCGCTCCCTCTAATCCGGGGATGGATGGTAAAGCAGTTAGGTCTAGATGATCCACGGATGTGATGGCTTGGAACTCATCTTCCGATTCCGGAGACTCTAACGGTGATTGGGGCATGGCGAATTGTTGCGTAGGTGAACAACGTCCGGTTGCAGTGCTATGACCCATGGTGGGGCTGCCTAGAGAGCTAGAGGAACCAACTGCGAGACCAGAGTCGTTTGCCGCAGAGCTGGCGTCCGGCGGGACTGGTGGTCGAATTCGAACTGTAACGGGATTTTTAGAGCCCGGAACCATGGCTGTGAATCGGGACACATAGGTATCCTGCGTTCGAGTTTCGGTAACCGGGGGTGTACTTGTATTGGATAGAGAAGAACTGACTTCATTCACACCACCATTGCGCTCAACACTTTCCGCGGGAGAAGGTGATCGACTCTCAGCCTTGGCAAGATCTGATCCGTGACGACGATTCAAAAACTCTTTGGCTAAACGACCCAGTTTTTCGTCGGACAGTAGAGTGAATTCAACCGGATCAAGACGCGAAGCCTGTAAGCAGTGGCGAAAGTGTTTCGTGGAGATACCACAATGCGATCCGAGAATATGTTTGCGCACATCCGCCAGTGCATGTGGCGAGGTGTAGGAACAATGGTTGCATTTATATCGACGAAAACCTCCTCGTGTATCCACGATCACGGACAGTCGACTATAGAGCTGCATCTTTTGTTCTAGAAATTCTCTGGTGGAAACTGGAAGCTGGTTGGTCAGACGACGCAAGATAGCGATTGAGTAGGGTAGAGGGACACGGCGTTTACCAGCCTCCAACATTCGTGGTCGCATTTGACGCATGGCCAACTGTTCCTGAACCTCTTGGAACTTCTCTTCACTTTTGGGCAGATAGGTGAAGCGAAGACAATCTTTCAGGTATTCCCTAGGTACTTCCAAATGAACGGTAAGCAAATGACGTTTAAAATCACCCAAACCATATGGGAACACCTTGCCACATTCCGGACAGACAGGGATACGACGATGATTCTCTTTGCCCAGAATCCGAACCAAATAGGAAGAGAATTGACACATTTTAGACACTAGACGGTCTAGAATGGGTGGACGGATGTGGGAGGACAATTCCGAGCGGAATTTATCCTCGTCGAACGGGAACGAGACCATATCGTCTCCGACGCGACCGGTATAGTCCGGGTAGGTCCGATCATCAGTGGCTTCCGGTTTGTTCTCGGGTATTGATTCAATCGGTTCTTCTTCTTCTTCTTGAGGTCCTTCAGAAACAGGTGCATTTGGTGTGCACGTAGTCACTGAATTGGTAGTGCTCGTGTCAGAAATTGTGGTACTACTCAGAGTGGTTTTCGTACCAGCGGCAGTAGTTGTAGTAGTAGTATTATTGGCTGTTTTACCACTTGAGCTGGCATTGTCAGTCATGATTGAAGCTAAATTGCCACTAATCGTAGCGGAACGGGTCGTAGTGGACAAACTCACAGACGGAGCAACTGATGGGGTAACACCCGCGGAACTTCCACTAGTAGTGCTGGTGGTAGTTGTTTGGGCCGGACTGACTAGAGTTGCAAGAGTGGGCAAAATTTTCGAAGGATTTAGACTCAAGGATGATGGGATGCTGGTTAGTGTGACTGGAAACGCTTGGGAAGGAACAGAGGCTATTGTGGGTGCACTGACATCGAACCCAGTTAGACCGGATAGTGCGGCCGCAGCCATTGCTGCCACTGCGGAAGCGGCATCTGACGCACTCAAATTGTTCACATTATTTGAACCAGAACCGGTTAATTCCTGAAGCGTCTTTAGTGCAACAGCACCCGGGAACAGCGAGACTGGGGCACCAGCGGACACACTGACCTGAGCC